TCATGTCTTTATGACTTCTTTGACCCCATTGCTGACCGCATCCATTCAGTGGAGATGAAAGAGGGCCGCACACTGCTGCACTGTGCTGCTGGAGTGAGCTGCTCTGCCGCCTTGTGTCTTGCCTACCTCATGAAGTACCATGTCATGTCCCTGCTGGATGCCCACACATTGACCAAGTCCTGCCGGCCCATCATCCGACCCAACAATGGCTTTTGGGAGCAGCTCATCCACTATAAGTTCCAATTGTTTGGCAAGAATACCGTGCACATGGTCCCTTCCCCAATGGGAATGATCCCAGATATCTATGAGAAGGAGGTTCGCTTCATGATTCCACTGTGAGCCACCCTGCCAACCCACTCATTGGGATCAGCAGTTTAGATCTGTTGTTGATCCTATTCCAAGATCTCAACTTGAACATTCTATTTTAGTTGACACACACACAAAAAAAAATCAGGACTGATGAGATAGCTCATGGTCTAAAGCGCCTGCTTAGGTAAGCTTAGGCAAGCAGGCAGGGATCATGGTTCAATCCCTGGCACCACATGCCATGCCAGCCCTGCCTCCAAGGTGGGCTTAGCTGGCCACAACAAAAAACAACAACAACAACAAAAATAATTTTAAAAAATTTTTAAAAACATAGGGGCCGGGGAGATGGCTCAGTGGAATAAGTGCTTCCCTGGCAAGCGCAAGGACCCGAGTTCAATCCCCAGTTCCACCAAAAAATAAATAAATAAAAATAACAACAAGAACAAACAAACCAGATGATACTTTAAAGGGCAAATAAAAAGAAAGGTTGCTTCAGCTTTTAACCTCGTAATCCAAATCTTTAAGGATCAAACTGACTAATTATAAGTAAAGATAAGTTTTCTGCCTTGTGAGGGGTAAGTGATGGCTACTGGCCAGAGGTTAGGTGAGACAGGTGATAAATTGGATGAAAAGCCCAGTACATGTATCAGGCCTAGGGGCCGGGGAGATGGCTCAGTGGAATAAGCGCTTCCCTGGCAAGCGCAAGGGCCTGAGTTCAATCTCCCGTTCCACAAAAAA